CAATCTATGATTTAGCCATTGTCTTAAGCAGTCTTTCTTTCCTTCCTTCTTTCTTTCTTCTTCCTTTCTCTCCCGTCCTTCTTTTTTCTTTCCTCTCTCCCGCCCTGCCTCCCTCCTTCCCTCCTTTCTTTCCTCCTCAGTTACTTTAGTAAGCAAATTATTGAGCCAAGGTCAAATGTTACTAAGGCAGATGTTGTTTTCAAGAGTTTCCCACCTTGCCTTTAGAAAACAAACTTGAAAGAGGTTGCTGAATATGCGAGCTGTCCTCACAGCAGGGGTTTTGAAAGGTCCACTTTTTGGTTAGGAAAGTTTGTAAAAATCGAAACGATAATGCAACAGTCAGAGTAATAGCTAACACCATTATGCGATGGCTCGATTATTACGATGTGCAAGAACCATGCATAAATTCTCTCTTTAAATCTTTCCCATGGACCTAGTGTATAGAGCCGGGTGCGGTGCGTGCCTGTGTGTTTCCCATTTTACAGATAAAGGAAACAACTTCAAAAGATTAATTTTCCCAATTAGTCAAGTACAGAGTTATAGTTTAAAAATCCAGAACCTTAGATATACTGCCTTAAAAAAATGCCAAACAAGAATATTCTTGATTTTCCAAAAGCACTTCAATATTTTTACACTCAATTGAGAAATAATAAACAGCGATTGGTTATTTTTATAAAGACAATGTTAACCCAGCATCCCCATCAGTAATCTTTTGGAGCAAGGATGCTGCATAAATTTAGGAGTCCAGTCATTCTCATAAGAGAGGAGTATTCCAAATTTGCTCTGATTGGTTCAGTTGCCATTGTTTAAAAACAAAACAAACAAACAAACAAAAAAACACACACACAAAAACCGGAGTATGCCAAAGTCATTGTGCTTCTTGCCTACTGTGGCTGTGAGAATTTAACACAGATAAAATGGTGTAAAACATCACACGTTAGTCTTAGTGCTGGGGGTCAAAAGTCTAAAAGGCCTCTTGTTGAGGGAAAAATCAGCTGTTGTCAAGACACATTCCTGTAGGCAGGCTGAGTGAGAAAACTCATTTCCTTGCCTTTCCCAGCTTCTAAGACTGCCCAGGTTCGTACACTCATGGCCACCTTTATCTTCAAAGTCAGTAATGCTAAACTGAGCCTCATATCAGACAATGCTTACCTTCTGGTCTGCCTCCCTGTGGCACTTCTAAGGATTTAGGAGATTGCATTGGTTTACCTGGGTTATCCGGAATAATCTTGCCACTTTAAAGTCAATTGTTTAGCAATCTAAATTCCACTGACAGCCTGGATTCTTGACAGAACATAAATCACAGATTCCAAACACCAGAGCATGACTACTTTTGGGGCTAATATCCTGTCTACTTCTCTCATCCACAAGTTTGTGGAGAACAGAGCAGAGGTAAATCTCTGCATCCTTTGTGGAAGCTCCCAGGAAGAGTGAGTCCTTCTTCAGTTACAAGATTACTAATTTTTGGTGGTGGAGACCAGAAGAAAAGCTGAAACTATTATACAATTGACTGATTTTTTCTAAAACTTTCAACCAAAAAGGTGCAGCAAAGCATTTTTATGGGAAGTGCAAAAAGGCTAAAACTGTACCAAATATAGCCACATTAGAAAATCTGCAAGGGGAGGAGGGTTGGGGGTGAGGGGAGGGAGAGGGAGAAGGGACTTGAAATAAGCTTGTTCCCTAACTAGAACTAATAAAATAATAATAATAAAAAAAGAAAATCTGCAAAGTAATCTTAACATAGCCTTGCCGTGTCTCTTTGGTTTGTCAGACAGAATCTTCCCAAATACTTGCTGTATGTACAAAAGAGCTTTATCTCTACAATTTGCATTGAGATCTATTGAGAGATAATTTTGAAGAAGGTTGATTCCCCTGTAGACTGTAAAAGTTGTCTCCAAGGTTCAAAGCCAGGCAGGCACTTATAGCCACAGGAACCCTGAGATGACTTCATGTGCTTGATGGTTTACAAAATGGCAAACTTGTTTACAACATTAGTATATGCTAAGAAGTATATTTAATAATACAATAATCAACAACAGAATGTAACAAATGATTTCAAATGGATGTTTTCTGTATAAATTTTCTCTATCGAGGAGAATTAGTATTAACAACAGCAGGCTTGGTGGTACATGCCTTTAATCCCAGCATTTAGGAGGAGGCACAGGCAGGTGGATCTTTGTACCAGTCTAGCTAGACAGGGCTATATAGTAAGATTGTGTTGAAGAAGAAAGGGAGGTATGAATATAGATATGTAAAGTATTAAAAAGAAATGCTTAATCTGAATAACTGGGGCATAGCAAGTGTTTTCCTCTATTAAACTTACGTTGTAGAGCTGGGGAGGCAGCTCAATTATTAAAAGTACTTATTGCTTTACCAGAGGACCCAAGTTTGGCTCCCAGAACTATTAGGTGTATGTAACTCCAGCTTCAGGGAACCCAACCCCCTCTTCTGACCACCATGGGCACCTATGCACCTATAGCAGACACACAGATACACACACACATACACATGAATAAAAATAAATATTTTAGAGAAAGATTACTTTTATGTGAGCCAATGTGATGGCTTAGCAGGTAAAATGTTTGCAGTGCAAATCTGATGACCAGAATTAAATCTCTGAAACCCATGTAAAAGCAGAAGGAGGGCATCATCTCCACAAGGTTGTTCTCTGCCCCCAACATGCACCCTGTGGCATGTGTGCATCCCCACACATACTGTACATATGCATGCATGATAACAATAAATGGAAACATTTAAAAATCATTTGAAGTCAAGTATTTATTTTCCTTAATGTTAATGAAGTGTATTTGACAAGTAAAAATTGCATGTGTATCATGTACAAATATATATACATATATATATATATAATTTAAATTCTATTTTTTTATTTTACATGTATGGGTGTTTTGCCTACATGTATACCTGTGCATTTTGCCTGAATGTACATTTGTGCATCATGTGATGCCCAGACAAACAAGAATAAGGCATTGGGCCCCCAGGAACTGGAATTATAGATGGTTGTGAGCTGCCTTGTGGTGCTAAGAATTGAATCATGGTCCTTTGGAAGAGCAATATGTATTCGTTTTTATAATTAAACGTTTTTAAAGATTTTATTTATTTATTATGTATGCAACATTCTGCTTCCATGTATATCTGCACACCAGAAGACGGCACCAGATCTCATAATGGATGGTTGTGAGCCACCCATGGTTGCTGGGAATAGAACTCAGGACGTCTGGAAGAGGAGTCAGTGCTCTTAACCTCTGAGCCATCTCTCCAGTCCCTCAATATGTATTCTTAACATTTCAGCCATCTCTTTAACCCTACAGTGAAATTTTAAAATCAAGCTAATTAGCATGTCTGCATTCTCAATGCTTAGAATTTGAGGACTGGGAATATTTAAAGTCTACTTTCTTAGCAATGTCTAAGTAGGCAGTATATCTTGAACTGTAGTTATCACTCTGTCATTTCTGTGGTCCAATCAAGTTACTTGAAAGTCAAGGAAATAGAACCAAGACAGGAGAGGGATTGGGAAGAGCTGATAGTAAACAGAACATCACAGGTCAGCTCTTCCTAAGCTGAGGAGTGGGTCAGAAACAATAGCCTTTATAGTTGGAATTTTTTCAGCAGACATAGGTTGGCATGCAGTCCTTATCATGAGAGAAACAAAGAGCTATTAATAGAGGAAAGATGATGTCCCACTAGACAAAGCCAATGGGGTGTTTTCTCATGGAGTAGTAGGCTCCCTACCACACAGTTCAGAGTTCAAGATACAGCATGCTGGGCAGAAAGCCTTCCTATGATTATTTAGTCTTCTGGACTTCAGTGCTATTAGTAGGGTAGTTCTTTGTACATTTTTAAAAGTTAATCCAAGTAATGGAAAAATTGGGGACATTTAATATTTTTGTTGTTATTAGGCATGTTTAATTTAGAAAATAGATGTGACAAATCCTTGTCTTGAACTCAGGACCTCCCCAGCCTCATGTACCTGTTCTTTTTAAAAATGGCACCCTGTACTGAAACCTGCACTGCCTAAGCAAATTGTACCAGAAGGGTGCCATCCATTTCCAATTTAGAAAACTAAAGAGGAGACCAGGACAAAGGACAAAAATCATTCTCTGCTTATAGAAGTGCCTTTGCTGGAAATCCTTTGGTGGCTTGCCGCTGCTCTTGTCACAGAGACTCCAGAACCTAACAAAGGCTTTAAGGCCTCGCAGGCATATCCTGAGGTCCTCTAGAGGAAAAGCATCTCCTACTCCCCACAGCTCTCTCTCATCTTAGTGCATTTGCATATGCTCCCTTCCTCTGCTTGGACTACTTTGCTCCACTCTCTCTGAGATACCTGCTCAGTATTTAGGGTTGAATCAAGTACCCTGTATTCTCTTCTCCAGTGAAGCTGCTCCTGATGGCTTCCATTTGCTCAACTCCTCTTATTATAAACTGGATCATGAATCCCTTCCCTTACACAAAACAGCTGCAGTTTTACATTTGTTTGCTTTTGTGATCATTTCAACAAAACCAAAGACTGTGCATACCTTCGTGCATGCATAATTTCATCTCCAGTGTCTAGGACTGTGAGCACACACTTCCAAATCCCACTCTCATAAATTAAAGAGACCAGTTATTGGGGAAATGTCTTAGATGTAGAACTTCTAGGTACAGATCAGAAGTACTAATTCCATTTTACAGAAATAACTCTTGTTTTTAACTCACTGGCTCACTTAGTAGACAAATATTTTAATACCTCT